TATATTTTTTTTAAATGTTAAGGAGGCCTTGGTGAGGTGGACAATAGATGGACGTTGAAACATGGAAGAAACTGTAGTCGGCCGGAAAATATCTTTATATATTTGGAATCTTCCTTAATTTACATCTTGCTTTATATACATATATACGTTATGCCGCAGTTACACTTAATACAGTTATTTCTTTCTTTCTTTTTTTTTTTTTAAGTGATCTTACAAGGCTTCCTTTTTTATATGGTAAAGAGATACATGTACACAGGTAGCTATTCAAATGCAGTTTTTTTTTTTTCTTTCGAAAATTTGCATTTTCTATAATCCCATACTTATCTCTTTCTTCTTTTCCTTTCTCTTTTTTTGTTTTCTTTCACTACAGCTAAGATAACATTAGCCGGAATGTTGCAACACGGAGAGTCATGTCTTACAATTAATAATAATATAGTTAATATCTTACAATTAATAGTAATTAATAATATTCTCGGGTCTCTCTTTTCACTAGGAACTACCTTAATTTCGTGGACATAACGAATGTATAACAGTCAAATTGGAATAATTAACTAAATAGATTTTGTTGTGACGCGTCGTTCTCGAATGTGCTCCATGCATTGTTCAGTTCCATGAAGATTAGTTTCGCAATATTTTCGTTCGCCGTTCCTGCTTGCTGCAAAGAGTAATAAGAAAACAAAGCTGACAATCTTGACATTCGTTATTTAGATTTATATCAATAACGATCAATTTCGATCGATAGTTTCATGTTTTTTGAATGATACCTTATCGGGGTGCACAGCCAAACAAGCTTTCCTGTAAGCTTTCTTCACATCCGCAGCGGAAACTAACTGATGCATCTCGCATCGTTGCCACCTGTCAGCCTCTGGCCAGAGAACCGTGTGCAACGAGCACAGGAGAGCCCTTAAATTACTCTTCTTCCCTTCTGTCCACTCGGCAATCTTCAACCTATCCGGATCCATGTTCTTGGCAGCTTCCACTTTCCTCATTTGATTTATTGTCTTCGGACTGTCCTTCTCCGCTTTCCTTGAACTGAAGAAATTGTATCCTTGGCTACCTAACAGATCCTCGAAGGCATCCCCGCTCGATTTGTTCGTTTTATTGCTTGTCGCACAATTGTCAGCAGCAGCAGCAGCAGCAGCAGCAGCAGCAGCAGTAGCAGCAGCAGC